TTATTATGATTTTCATCTTTAGTTTAATATATTTATTATGATTCTCAGCTTAGTTTAATAAATTTATTATGATTCTCATCTTTTGTTTAATACATTTATTATGATTTTCATCTTTAGTTTAATAAATTTATTATGATTCTCATCTTTAGTTTCATGTTTCGGCTCAACAACCAGTTTTAACGTAGTTTGGTTTACGTTACTCTGCAGCTCAGAGCAAACGATGCTCATTTCAATATTTTCAGTCTGAAAATCACTAAGATGAGCTGAAGATGTTAGCATTAGCTTTAGCAGTGAGCTACAATGCATTATGGTCTATTTCAACCCTTCTTTCTGAATATCTGAATGGTTGCAGCTTTATAGAGAATTGTTTGTTTCCTACATGGGGTAGGTCTGTTAAAATGTTCTGTTTTTGTTCAGATTCATGATGTCAGAAGACAACAGTCTAGAACCTGCAGAGGCTGAAGGTCCGATGAGCTCTGTGTTCGTGGGGTCAAATACATGAGTTTATTACAAAACAAAAGCCTCAGGTGGACGGGTTCAGGTATCTGGACGTCTTGTTCCCGAGTCATGAAGCGGGAGATGGAACCCTGGGTCAGGGCATCGTCCTCAGTAATGAGGGGGTTGAATCGGTCAATCGAGGTGATGAAAGAGTTGAGTCTAAAATCAAAGCTCTGGATTTACTGGTCCGTCTATGTTCCAACCTTCATCTGTGGTCCTGAGGTTTGGATCAGGACCCAAAGAACCAGATTCTGGATCCAAGCAGCTGAAATGGTCTTCCTTCATAGGTTGTGGGGGCTCAGCCCTAGAGGTAGGAGGGGGAGCTTAGAGAAGAACTGCTACACCTGACTGCAGACAAGAGGTAGACGATGATGAAGATGGAAACCAAATCAGATCTGAGCTCAGTCAGTCCCTCCATGCACATGCAGACGGAGAGCAATCTCACATCCTTTGCTCAGATTCTTTAAACCTTCCTGCAGACCCCCCCCCCCCCAACACGGTTTGTTTTTCTTCTCCTGTAATGCGTAGCTGGGAGGAAATGCTGGAAGTGTAATATGTGTGTGGACTTCAGGCTTTGCGGAATGTTGAACAGGAAAAACAGATCGGACTCTGGATACTGAGAGAAATGGATTTATTGGGACCACATGGGGCCTTACGAGGACCAAACCTGAGAGGAAGACCTTCAGAAGGTCTGACGATCCAGACTACAGGAAGGTCTGGATCATTTACGAGGAAAATACCAAGAAAGCAGGAGTTCAAACTGAACCGAACATCATTTTAATTCACATCTTCAAACATTTACAGTGAAAAAAACGAACAGATCTGTTCATTAATCACTTCTTTGGTTCAAACGTCCCAGAAACATAAAAAGATCTGCATTAAAATATAAATACACGGACTACAGTTACATCATTTTTACTAAATACCTTCAGAGATGAAGGTGGTTGGATAAACTGCTGAGTCGACCTCGTTCTTCTGACCACATTTATGTGAGATTCAAACTTTTTAAATCTTCTCCAACAACATCCAGCAGAGAGTCGACTGCAGATTGAACTCAGGAGTTTCATTTCGCTCGTTAGCGACGGGTCGGTTCAGTTTTAACGAAGGAAACGCGACGCTCCCCCTCCTGAGACGATCAGAAGCAGAACGAGTCGCTCGGCTCTGATTCAGCAATGCGTGGTTGACAGCAACACTTTGGCCACATTTAAGTAATAAACTGTTAAAACCTTACTTTTGTAGAAAGCTCTTTAAAGAACGTCCGTCTGGAGTCTGAGGAGCTAACAGCAGCTCAGACTAATCCCTCCAGACACCAATATTTGAATCTTTACACATATTTTATAAAACAAAATACAGATATGAAGCATCAGCAACAGAACATCCTTCACATGACAAAAGGACGAGAGACAACTTTAAAAGTTCCTGCTCTCATTCCCCCAGGCTGAGGTGGCTCTGACAGGATCTGCTGCAGGTAAGATACTGACTGTCCAAGCTGTGAGCAGTTACTGAATACTATTAACCTTTAATTATTGTCTCAAAATGTTCTCTGATCTGGACCTGTCTCAATAACTGATAACAACAATTATTATCAAATCTTTACCTTCATTCACTAAAGCTGCTACAGGAGATTCAATCAGAAATGTGGGGGCAGCTGCCGAGGTGGGGGCGATGTGATCAGAGGTTAGAAAATAAATAATGTGCACAGAAAAAGATGCAGGTTTACAAGTCGTGCTAGAAAAAAGCTGATTTTTTTCTGAAACGGTTCTCTTCAAACGAGGCTGCACGACTCGCTGGTCACACTCAGACTGCAGTGATACTGAAACTAGACTCGTCCTTTTTTACAACTTTAAGGTCTGCAACTAGTCTCAATCTAGTCTCTAACTAGTCTGCAACTAGTCTCAATCTAGTCTGCAACAAGTCTCAAACTAGTATGCAACATATCTCTAACATCTCCAAGTATTCTGCAACAAGTCTTAAACAGTCTAACTAGTCTGCAACAAGTCTGCAACAAGTCTCAAACTAGTATCTAACTAGTGTGTAACTAGTCTTCAACAAGTCTCAATCTAATTTCAAACTCGTTTGCAACTAGTCTGCAATGTCTTAAGTAGGCTCCAGCTAGTCTGCAACAAGTCTCAAACTATAGTCTCCAAATGATCTGCAACTAGTCTCAAACTATTCTACAAGTCACTTAACTAGTCTGCAACAAGTTTGAAACAGTCTAACTAGTCTGCAACAAGTCTCAAACTAGTATCTAACTAGTCTGTAACTAGTCTTCAACAAGTCTCAAACTAATCTCAAACTCGTTTGCAACAAGTCCCAAACTAGTATCTAACTAGTCTGCAACAAGTCTCAATCTAGTCTAACTAGTCTGCAACTAGTCTCTAACTTGTCTCAATCTAGCCTCCAACTATTCTGCAATGTATTAAACTAGTAGGCTCCAGCTAATCTGCAATAAGTCTTAAACTAGTCTCCAACTGATCTGCAACTAGTCTCTAACTATTCTACAACAAGTCACTAACTAGTCTGCAACTAGTCTCTAACTAGTCTCCAACTAGTCTGCAACTGTTCTACAACTAGTCTCAAACTAGTTTTTAACTAGTCTTCAACTTTTGAAATCAGTTTGGCTCAAGATAGCCACAGCTAACAGCTGTACCAGTGAGTTGTACAGATGTGGTGTGGTAGTAGCTGAGAGTCATCCCTGACAGACGCTCTGAGCTCCAGCAGGTCAGAGCAGGTCTCTGAGTGGACCTGAAGGTGGCGGGCGACACACATTCATCAGGAGCGCTGCTTTAGTTTTCTCCTTTGAGCAGCTTCAAGAGGAGAGAAGTTTCAGAACGTCTGAATCTGACAGCCGAAGGAAACGGATCAAAGCTTAAATTCAGTCCTTTTGGTTTCTGCAGTTTGGTTCCAGAAGAACAGTGCAAATAAAGAACCTCAGAAAGCCCGTTTGGGCCCATATTAAGAACGTTTAACTTCAAATCAGGTTAGTTAAATAAAAACCGTCAAATGAGAACTTCAGACAAACGTTTCAGTTCTGACAAAAACTGTCCTGCAGCTGCCGAGCCTGGTTCTGACCCGGGTGAAGTAGCCACCTCCTTCCTGCAGCGGCTCCTGTGGGTCAAAGTTCAGGCCGACATGGGCTCGTAGGTGTGGAAGTGGATCCCCTTGGAACAGGTGATCTTCATCACGGCTCCGTTCAGACTGCTGTCAGTGATCAGTCGCATCATCCCTTCGGCTATCAGCTCCGGCCTGCCGAAGAAAACACTGATCAGACTCAGGAACAGCTAAATACAGAGAGAGGAGCAGCAGCTAAAGGACTGCTTAAAGAGCTGAAGGACTGAAGAAGGATTTGCTTCAGGAAGAATTACTTGAAGGAATGCATTTCACCCGCCATCCCGCACTGCAGAGCTTAAACTGATGTGATCAGAGAGCACTCAGTCTGTGCTGGGGATGAGTCTCAGCTACTACCAGCTCTAAAAGCACCTGAACCAAACCTCCAGTTTTAAAGCTCTATCCTGCAGAGGTTCTGAACTCACGGTAAAACTCCAAACTTGTCCATGCTGCGTCTGAAGTCATCCTTGAACTTGACAAACTTCCCCATGTTGTCCTCGCGTTCCACCGTCTGCAGCAGCGGCGTGTCCACGAAGGCCGGACACAGGACGTTGATCCGGACTCCGTAGTCTCCGTGAGCCGAGGCGTCCTGAAACGAGATGTTCAGAACTTTAGATTCTGGAAGTTGACCGGCATGATGTTGGACTCAGAGTTTGTCTCACCGCCATGGCTCTGGTGAAGCCGATGACTCCGTGTTTTGTCGCCGTGTAGACGGGCTGATGGGGGGAGTGAAGGAAGGCTGGGAGGACAAGAGACAGATTAAAACCGGACCAGGTCTACTTCCTGTTCCTGTGGACTTCAGCTGCTTCAGAATAAACTTCAGATTCCCACAGAGGCCTGGATTTGACTGATTCATGTCAAATTAAAACAATAACTCAAGTTTTACATGAGCCAAACTCTGACATGATGTAGTTCTATATGAGCCAAACTCTGACATGATGTAGTTCTATATGAGTCAAACTTTGACATGTTGTAGTTCTATATGAGTCGAACTCTGACATGTTGTAGTTCTATATGAGTCAAACTTTGACATGTTCTAGTCCTATATGAGCCAAACTCTGACATGTTGTAGTTCTATATGAGTCAAACTCTGCCATGTTGTAGTTCTATATAAGCCAAACTCTGACATGTTGTAGTTCTATATGAGTCAAACTCTGACATGTTGTAGTTCTATATGAGTCAAACTCTGCCATGTTGTAGTTCTATACGAGTCAAATTCTGACATGTTCTAGTTCTATATGAGCTGAACTCTGACATGTTGTAGTTCTATATGAATCAAACTTTGACATGTTCTAGTTCTATATGAGTCAAACTTTGACATG